ACGGCAAATACATTCCACGTCTGCTCTTCCTAGGTCGGTGAATTTTTTCTGGCGACCTTTTTTTAATTTCAGGTTTGCGGTAGTGTACTGGGGTCAAAGTTGTCTGAAAATTTCAGGTGACCTGAAATGAAATTTCTATTTTCAGACAAGAACGGAGATTTACTACCAGAGTTTGTCAATAAAAAGGCCGAATACAAAAGTTACGCGTATTATTATTCGTCGCCGGCCGATGTGTTGAACTCAATGAAGGATGTATTGAAATTCTACAATATTGAGGTGAGTTGCGACCTGAAATTCTGTGGTACTTGGAAAGGGGACGACCTGAAATTCTGCGGTACCAATGGGAGCTTCAAAACGAAGATAGGGATTAGGGGTATCAGCGGATTTGTATCCCTTTTACCTCCCCCCTCCCGTCCCCCCAAAAATTGTTTGTAAGTTCAAGCTCTAAAGCTGGTCATACCTTATAATATGGTACCTTAATTTTTAAATTTTTTAATTTCAGGTTCCCGAAATGAAAAAAGGTGAAAAATTGAGGAGAAGGCCACGTTCGGACGATGAACCNAACTACATTTACAGGTTTGGAGGGCTTATACAGGATGTGGGGGGGGGGCTATCCAATTCCAAATTCAGGTCAAAAAAATTAAATTTTTTTGACCTAAAATTGTAAAAATATCAAAACACTGCGAATACACTTTATTCCATCCTCTTTATTTCTCTCCAATTCCCATCAATAAAAATACATCAAAATAAACAACATCATCAAATCAAAAAAAAGCCAAATGAACACGGAAAACGATAGAGTACAGGAACAAAAGAGAAGCAGAGATAGAAATACCGAGATGGAACAAAAGAGAAAAATGGAGCAGTTTTTTTCCAATTCTGCTGATCAATCAATAAACAACTGATCCAAGATCAGCTTCGATCAGGATCACCATTCAGATCGGGTGATTCAGGATGAATTGTTGTATGACGTAGTACATCTGGGGGGCACGCCACTGGGGGGCCATATGGCCGGCCCCTCGAACGGTCACAAATATCAAACCCTCGTAGAGGGTCTTGAAGCCGGCGATCTGACGTTCGAATTTATACGGCGTTTTGTTCAGTCGTCGCTGAAAATTTCCAAATTTGCTCACTATTTTTCCAGAGGTCAAAGGTCAGGGGTCAGAGATCAAAGGTCAGAGGCCATACTGGTAACAAACGCCCTCCTGAGATCATCAAATATCGATCATTTTGATTGGAAATTTTTGGAATTTTTTCGAAAATTTTTGAATTTTTTCAGATTTTTTTTTGAATTTTTTCAATGGTACCTTTAATTTCAGGGCGGCCGCGAATTGCTGACCCATCATGAAATTACACGCCATGTCCGTATCCCCATAGTACAACAGCACGGCCACGTTGGCGTTGACAATTTTTCGTATGAACGGCGTCATGTCACCATACTGTTTCTGATAGGTTGTGGTGACCTGAAATCGAATTTTTTTTGAATTTTTTCGCGTAGACAGGTGGGGGGGGGGAGCTCATCCCGTTCAGAATCTTTACGCTTCAAGGCGCCATTTGAAATTTATTTATTTGAAAAATTTAGGAGGTATGGGGCTGCCGGAAGACAGCTGCAACATTCCATTCGCTAGATTTTTGGGTCCTAAGACGAAAACTGCGAACTTAATTTTTCTGGGCGAATTTAAATTTCACTATTAATTATTCCTATTAAACTACTATTAAATTAATTACTATTAAAAATTACTACTAAAATTACTGCTAAAATTACTATTAAATTACTATTAAATACTACTAAAATCGTATATTTATTATTATTATTATTGTTACTATTATGTTACTCCCTATTATACATCATATATCACTATTTATTATTATATATATTATTTATTATTATAATTATATATTATTATTATTATTACTATTACTATTACT